TTACTACTTTGATTCATGTTTTTATCACACCACACACTGGTGGTTTTTCATGATGTTGCTGCTTTTTTACCAGCAAATGACCAACAATTAAAATATTTGTATAATTAAATAAATGCATTTGTATAATTATCCAGTTAGATTATCTTTACTTTTAGAAAAATATATATTTTAATGTTTTTCTCTTATTTGGGCATTTTGTTCAAACCTTCTAAATTATGTTATTTGCTATCTGATGTGATTTTGTGAGGTTGATTGGTTAGCACTCAGAGTGTGTGTTGAGGATGACTCTCACCTGCCACTAGTGTTGTAGTATTCCAGACCGGTCTTAGTCTTGAGACTGGTCTCAAGACCAGTGGTGATTTTGATGGTCTTGGTATTGTCTCGGACTCGACCGCATTTGGTCTCGGTCTTGTCTTTGACATTGAGGACTCTGGATTTTATTTCAAGACCAGTTAAGACTACAACTGTGGAAATATCACTAAATTGCCAGAATATTGTCCAATTTATTTGTCAACATCTTTGCTTTTATTGGATGTAAAACTTACTGATTCAAATCCAAGTGATAACGCGACTCATTGCTAAATACTTTTTTTTTGTACCGCTGTCACCCCCACCCCCTTTCACTCGCCCGCGTCACTCCAAGTGTTGCCAGATTGGGCAGTTTGCTGCCAATTGGGCAGTTTTCATTCTGATTTTGCTGGGAACTCTGGGAAGATTTTTATTGGATTTTTGTATTTTGCCACATATTATTAAATTACCTTGGCTGGTATTGATGTGCGTTCATGTTCAAACAGTAAATATACTATAACAATGGGTGGATTTTTGTGTGATGTGGCGGTTTTTAACAGATTTTTGGGCTGGAAAACCTTGGCTCTTATCTGGCAACACTGGTCACTCCAAGAAAGAGAGAAGTGATTGTCTGGGCACGGGAGAAGATGTCTGCCATATCATCAGTTATAAAATTCAGCTATTTAAATCACAAATAATATACTTCTAACTAATATCCATTTATGCAACTTTTTAGGTCTGCTACTTTATTGAAACCACTGTGCAACTATATGGTTATCCTTGGTCTTGAGTTTGGACTTATGAAGAGTGTTTTGCTATTTCAGGTTTTTAACGCTTGGCATGTGAGGAAACTGCTTCCAATTTAACAGTTGTGTAATTTTATTGTAGAATCACATGAAGTTAGGCCACTGAATGTCTGATTTCTTTATGTAGCTTTGAAAATTTATAAAAGCCAATATATTAATTCAAAGCTAACTTAAAGTTGCAGTATGTAACTTTTATAAAAATATTTTATAATAAAATTTTATATTTTATTTATTTTATTTGAGGTCTTGGTCTCGACTTGGTCTTGGATCCTAAAAGTCTTGGTCTTGTCTCGGTCTCGGTACACTCTGGTCTTGGTCTTGACTTGGTCTCAGGTTAGTTGGTCTTGACTACAACACTACCTGCTACCATATCAAATATCAGCTCCAGATGGGGACAGTTTGTTGAGTTAAAGCCATTTTGTGAAGCCTAATGTTGGTTGGAGCTTAAATTGTGTTGGTTCTAGCTTCATCAGGGGTGAGTGTACATTCAGTGACTTCTTCCTGAAGATTTGATTGAAATTCCTCCTCTAGTTCCTTTAATTCTTCAGATAACATGACAGAAGAACAAGCGCTCTCACAATGACCCAAGCTAAAATATTGCTGCCCTTGGTGGCCCATGATAAAAGTCCAAGTAGAAGAATCTACAGATTCCTGTACTTCAGGTTTCTTTTCATAAACCTGTAATGCTGAATGCATGTGACAGAGTTGGAGTTGTTGAAGCTCACCTCTCTGGTTTTGTCCACCTCGCTCTGTAAGACCTCCTTGGCCACCTCCAGCTCCTGAGTCTTCTCCCTGAGTGCCTCGTTGTCCCACTCCAGCTGCGAGTTCTTCTTCTGCACCGTCTGCAGCTCGTTGTACAGGCGGAGGAATACACTCTTTGCAACCTGCAAGCAGAGCAGAAAACCTGAAGATCCAGTGAGATCCACTCATCATCATTTTCATGCGAGCGCCTGTGGTGCAGAGGAGCAGCAGGAAGGACTTCACAGCTCAGCTAACAACGGTACGGACAGCTAGTGAATCTCTTCCTCCATGATCACTGCTTGATGTGCTAAAACTAGCAGAACTTTGTGGCACTGCAGCAAACGTTCACGTTCATGTGAGCAGCTGGTGTAGAAGTGATTCACTCACAAACCAAAATGAATTTTTCCTTTTTGATGTGGGTGAGGTTCACCAAAACTCCCTCCCTGACGTCAGACCTTAATGTCGTGCTCCAGGCTCCGGACCAGCTCTCCGTCCACCTGTCCAGTCTGAGCCACCCGGATGCTGCGGCGCTCGGCCTTGCGGAGTCGGTACTGCAGGATGCGACAGGTCTTCTTGGCCTGCTCCAGCTGCAGCCGCAGCTCCTGCAGCTGGTACACTTCCTCCTCCTGGAACATGTCTCTCATTTCCAGCATCTCACAGCGAAGCTCCTCCACCTCGTCCTGCGGCAGAAACACAGAAGACACAAAAAAATAGATATTTTGTTGAAGAAAACAATTTTTTAGCAAGTTTACTAGGCTGAAAACATTTAAAAAAATCTAATTAAAGGACAGAAACATTTCTGACTAAAGAACAAAATACAGTACTGTGTTCTTGCAGCTGAGATGAGAGGCAGTTTGAGTCCACGGTTCCAAACAAAAGGAATGTTTCCTCGAGGTATGAGGTGAGAGGAGGAGAGGAAGAGTTCAAGTATCTGGGCCTCTTGTTTATGAGGAATGGTAGAACAGAGGGGGAGATGGACCAGTGGACCAACATTTTTATTTATTGATGGCATTACTTTGGTTTGTAGTGGTAAAGAAGATGACCTGAACCACAAAGCTGGAACATAGTTTGGTCCATCTATGTTCTAGAAAAGAAATGAGGGTTTTCTCTGGGTGGCTGGGCTCAGCCGTAGAGCTAGAGTGAAGAGAGTCATCATCCAGAGAGAGCTCAGAGGAGAACTGCTGCTCCTCTCCATCAAAAGGAATCTGTTGATGTGGTTTGAGTGTCTGATGAGCGTTTGGATGTTCAAGTGTAGTGCTAAAGCTAACCCCACAGTTAACCATCGACCCGTTCACGTTTCTAATCGATTTTCCTCGCTCAGTGACACACCCGCTGAGAAGCAGACCCTGATTACTGGCAGCTCCGTAGTCTGAAGCATGGCACTATGGTCTCCAGTGATTATAGTTAAAATCATTCTGGGATCCAGAGCAGGTGACATAGAATCTTATCTGAAACTGCTGACTAAGGCTAAGGCTAAATACGGTAAGATTGTTATTCATGTCGGTGGTAATGACACCCGGTTACGCCAATCGGAGGTCACTAAAATCAATGTTGCTTTGGTGAGTGACTTTGCTAAAACTATGTCGGACTCCGCAGTTTTTTCGGGCCCCCTCCCCAACCTGACCAGCGATGACATGTTTAGCCGTATGTCGTCGTTTAACCGCTGGGTGTCCAGATGATGTTCTGACAACGACGTGGGCTACAAAGATAACTGGAGTTCTTTCTGGGGAAAACCTGGTCTGATGCGGAGAGATGGCATCCATCCCATTTGGACCGAGCCGCTCTTCTTTCTATAAATATGGCTGATTTTGTTTATCCCCCAAATTATTGACAACCCAGGGTCCAGTCCAGGAAGCAGAGTTATAGTCCTCCACACCTCTCTGCTGCTTCTCCTCTGTTACCCACCCACACCCACATTGAAACAGTGTCAACTCGCCCACGGCTCAAATTAAATAAACCACAAATCAGCTCTAAAAATATAAACCATAAAAATCTTATTAAAATAAACAGTTACTTTACCAGAGCAAAATCATAAAATCGTTAAATGTGGATTATTGAACATCAGATCTCTTTCCTCTAAATCCCTGTTAATTAATGAACTGATAACTGATCATCATATGGATTTATTCTGTCTGACAGAAACTTGGCTACAACAGGAGGATTTTGTTAGTATAAATGAATCCACTCCTGTTAATTATTTAAATTTTTATGATCCTACAACAACTGGCCGAGGTGGAGGAGTAGCTTCTATTTTTAGGTCAGGATTATTGATTCATGCCAAACCAGTTATTAGTTATGATTCTTTTGAATCACTGTCCCTCAGTCTTTCTTATCCAAAATGGAAATCAGAAAAGCCACTTGTATTAAGTTGTTATTTATCGTCCATCAGGCCTTTATTGACAGTTTTTGTCTGAATTCTCAGATTTTTTCAATCTGACTTATTATTGAATACTGATAAATTCATAATAATGGGGGATTTCAATATAAATGTACAAACCGGATTCCAAAAAAGTTGAGACACTAAACAAATTGTGAATAAAAACTGAATGCGATGATGTGGAGGTCCCAACATCTAATATTTTATTCAGAATAGAAAGCAAATCACAGATCAAAAGTTTAAACTGAGAGAATGTATCATTTTAAGGGAAAAATCTGTTGTTTCCAAATTTCATGGCATCAACAAATCCCAAAAAAGTTGGGACAAGTCCATTTTTACCACTGTGTGGCATCCCCCCTTCTTCTTACAACACTCAACAGACGTCTGGGGACAGAGGAGACCAGTTTCTCAAGTTTAGAAATAGGAATGCTCTCCCATTCATGTCTAATACAGGCCTCTAACTGTTCAATCGTCTTGGGCCTTCTTTGTCACACCTTCCTCTTTATGATGCGCCAAATGTTCTCTATAGGTGAAAGATCTGGACTGCAGGCTGGCCATTTCAGTACCCGGATCCTTCTCCTACGTAGCCATGATGTTGTGATTGCTGCAGAATGTGGTCTGGCATTATCGTGTTGAAAAATGCAGGGTCTTCCCTGAAAGAGATGACGTCTAGATGGGAGCATATGTTGTTCTAGAACCTGAACATAGTTCTCTGCATTAATGGTGCCTTTCCAGACATGCAAGCTGCCCATGCCACAAGCGCTCAAGCAACCCCATACCATCAGTGATGCAGGCTTCTGAACGGAGCGTTGATAACAACTTGGGCTATCCTTGTCCTCTCTGGTCCGGATGACATGGCGTCCCAGTGTTCCATAAAGAACTTCAAATCGTGACTCATCTGATCACAGAACAGTCTTCCATTTTGCCACACTCCATTTTAAATGACCCCTGGCCCAGTGCAAACGTCTGAGCTTGTGGAGCTTGCTTAGAAATGGCTTCCTCTTTGCACTGTAGAGTTTCAGCTGGCAACAGCGGATGGCATGGTGGATTGTGTTCACTGACAATGCTTTCTGGAAGTATTCCTGAGCCCATTCTGTTATTTCCTTGACAGTGGCATTCCTGTTTGAGGTGCAGTGACATTTAAGGGCCCGGAGATCACGAGCATCCAGTAGAGTTTTACGGCCTTGACCCTTACGCACAGCGATTGTTCCAGATTCTCTGAATCTTTTGATGATGTTATGCACGGTTGATGATGATAACTTAAAAGTCTTTGCTATTTTACACTGGGTAACACCATTCTGGTATTGCTGCACTATCTTTCTGCGCAACAATCCTGGAATTGGTGATCCTCTTATCATCTTGGCTTCTGAGAGACACTGACACTCTGAGAAGCTCTTTTTATACCCAATCATGTTGTCAATTGACCTAATTAGTGTTAATTGGTCTTCCAGCTCTTCATTATATGCTCAATTTCCTTTTTCCAGCCACTTATTGCTACTTGTCCCAACTTTTTTGGGATTTGTTAACACTGTGAAATTTTGAATCAACATATTTTTCTTTTAAAATGTTACGTTTACTCAGATTAAACTTTTGATCTGTCATCTATGTTATATTACGAATAAAATATTGACATTTGCCATCTCCACATCATTGCATTCAGTTTTTATTCACAATTTATTTAGTGTCCCAACTTTTTTGGAATCCGGTTTGCAGATGTTGAAAATTATAGCTTAAGTACAGGCTTTAATATTTTAATAGAGTCAGTTAGTTTACCCACAACATCCACACATCTACTCCTTCTCATCATCACACTCTCTTGACCTGGTTCTGATTTATGGCATAGAGATTAAGGACTTATTAATACATCCTCAAAATCCTGTCTGATCATTTTTAATAACATTTGAGTTTACATTAAATGACTACACAGTCTCTGAGAGTAAATTTCATTATAGCAGGTGCTTATCCGAGAACCTGTAAAAAAATGTAAAGCTCTCTTCCATCGTTTTCCTCTGTCTTGCAAAGTAATACATTAGAGAACAGTGACTTTTTTTTCTTCTTTTTCATTTACCCTTTATTTATACAGGTAGTCTCATTCAGTCACGAGAATTCATTTTCAAGAGAGACTTAGATCATCTGGTTGATAATTTTACAACTTCTTTACAAACTTCACTTGATAAAATTTGCTCTGCTGAAAAAGAAAATAATCAATCAAAGTAAACTGGCTCCTTGGTTCAATTCTGAGTGGTGTACTTTAATACAGGCATTTAGAAACCAGGAGAGAAAATGGTGCTCCGATAACATTGAAGAATTTTATTTACTTTGGAGAGAGAGCCTGCTAACATATAAGAAAGCTCTCCGTAAAGCTAGAACTGTATAATATCCATCTTTAATATATGAGAATAAAAATAACCCCAGGTTTCTGTTCAGCACTATTGCTAGACTAATGAAAAGTCCCATCTCTTTTGATTCATGTATCCCTACAACTATAAGCAGTGATGACTTCATGAAATTCTTTATTAATAAAATTACTTCAATTAGAGAGAAAATTCAAACCATCCTTCCTACTATTGCCTCTGATTCCCTGACGGATGATGCAGTTTTACAAATATCCCTAGAACCTGATGTTTGTTTGGACTGTTTTTGTTCTGTTGAGCGCTCTGAATTATCAAAAATAATATCTTCATCCAAGCCATTAACATGTTGGCTAGAGCCCATCCCAACCAGACTGTTTAAAGAGGTATTTCCCCTAATTAATGTCCACATTTTGGATCGTTTATTTGTCTCTAAATGGTTACATACCACAGCACTTTAAGGTTTCTGTAAATAAACTTTTACTTAAGAAGCCTGATCTTGATTCAGAAATTCTGGCCAACTATAGACCTACACCTAATCCATATGTGTCAAACTCAAGACCTGGGGGCCAAACATGGCCCTCATTGAAATCTTATCTGGACCCCAAGATGTTATTTTAAATGTAAAATACTTTTATCACTTTATATTTTTCAGTAATCTTTGATTATAATGTCAAAAGTGCAACAGAGAATGTCAAATGAGACCAATCAAATTATTGTTGATTAATCTATGACAAAGAAAACATGTTGGGTATCTGACTTGAGTTAATGTAGATTCTAAACTGGCCCTTAGTTTGAAAAAGGTTTTAATTTTGGCCCCCTTTTGTAAGTGGATTTGACACCCCTGATCTAATCTAACATTCATCTCAAAAATTCTAGAGAAAATTGTTGCAGATCAGTTGCATGAACATCTGAACAGAAATAATCTGTTTGAAGAGTTTCAGTCAGGGTT